CCGCAGCCTGCCACGGGGACGCGGCCTGTTGCTACGCGACCAGCGGCGGCTGCGCAGTGGGCGCGGCCCGGCCCTGCGGCCTCCCCCGGGCCACCGGCCGGGCGCGCCTGGGGCCGCACCGCCCGTCAGGGCCGGCATCAGCGTAATGCCGGGCGCCGAGGGTGCATCTGCGCTCTTTTTTTCTACCTAATTTCAGTCTGTCCTAGGACAAACTGGGATAGTGGCAGTCAATAAATTAGGGGCTTTATTCTTGACTTCTAGACGCCGAATAGGACAAAGTATAAGTAGTACTGCTGAGGTAAAAATAGCTTTAACTAGGTTATTAGACAGCTTTTCGGACAGCAGGCAGGCTTTGAGGCTTTTTGGGTAATTCATAGATTAACAGCTATAGTAGGCCAAGCGGCACTTACTAAGGGGTTCAGATAATTAAAGCAACTGACAGTCAGAGACCTACTGAAATTCTCTATTGCCATAGAGGGATCAATGCCCAAGTGTAGGGACTGGAGAGCATTTTCTTAATAATCAATAACCCAGACAGAGCAGAATGCCATAGCTTTCCCCATTTCGAGTTAACATCAGCATATTATAAGAAACAACCAAAGTCGCTTCTAGCAATACCTACAAACCACCTGTTTTGAAAGTATTTCTCAGTTTAGGTTTACAGTAAGCACGCAAAATGACAAAGCATTTTAAAAATGTGGGAATACAAAGGAAGATTGTTGAGGAGGATTGTAAACAGTCAAGTGACTTGTAGCTGGGGCACTGAAAAATACACAAATCGTATTGTTTAGCTTTGTGTGCTTGACCGTGTTTAGATAAAATAGGCCTGTGATACACCCAGAGGCACCTTATCAAACATCCTTGAGACTGCCTGCCTTGCTGAGGGAGAGCTCAAAGCACAGTGGAAAACTACACTTGCAAAAGTCCCTGATATATACAGCTGAAAGCAGCAGGTTCAAGACCTTTTTCTTTCTTTTCTTCTTTCTGGCTAGCAAGGACCAAGCTCCGCCATGCCTGCATTCCCCATTGTGTGCCTTTGCCCAGGTGCTGCTGCAGAGATCCTCTGCATCATGAGGTAACCAGAGTAAATTTACTCTTTTCATTTCTTCTGTAGTTTTTCGGTTGTTCCTGCATCGTGCCTGTGTCAGCTTACACATATGGCTAAGAAAAAAAATAATACTCTTAGCAAGGTAACATTTAGTTTGGCATTTTTCCACTTGTATTTCTAACATTTCCAAGTCCCTCTTAACAATCACCTACCTTGTTCTTTCACAATAAAGTTTCAGGAGATAGAAGGTAGCAGCCAAAAGTTTTAAGATACTCCTTAACTATTTGATATTTAAAATTATTTCATGGGCATGGTGACTTTGGTTGTTCACTCCTCCCTTTCCAGTAGCTCCCCCCCAAGAAAATTACAACACACTGGTGCACATATTTAATGCTTTAGTCATTCAAATTGAACAAGTAAAGTAGTTGCAAGAAAAATATTCAAATACAAATTTGGTAAAGTACATTCTCCTCACAGAGGACTAACCATGTGCCACAGACCTGTGTGCAAAAGAGAGCCTATGAACAATTTTTAGAACATGAAAGCATACCCTAGGGCAGAGAATTATTATCAGAAGTTTCAACCTAAAAAGATAATAAACACAAAATTAAGCTCTGGAAAACAGAAGCGCTACTACAGTTGTCTTGTCAGTCATAGTTGTTCATTATTACCCCAAAGCTATTACAAAAGCTCTACTAGGCTTCTCCAATTACTATGACTAATCCTGAGCAGGTACAAGTCAATATAGCTCTACTGAAGTCAATGGTATCTGTGACTTCATGAGAACCAATGTATCTCTAAAGCGTGGCTCCAAAAGCACTACTTCATGTACTTGTCACAAAAAGCATGGCAGAATAATGGCAGGATTATTTAAATAAAGTTGCACTTTTAAAGTTATTTAAATAAAGTTGCAAATATGGAGTGATACAAGACTACAAAAAAGTACGAATGTCACAGAATGTTAGTTCAACAGTACTGGATTTCTAACCAACTGTAATTTTTAAAAAGTCTACTATTCAGTACCTACTTGAAAAATTACAGCAGAACAGCAGATTTATAAAGAGATTTGTACCGGTTTTTAAGTAGAAAATACAAGTTATATCTTCCAGTTTGTATTCTTAGCAAATTTCATACAGCCTTTGGTTTCAAACCAATACAATGCAATTAACATTACAGTGCTTACTTATTCATTAGGAGAGGGCACTGTACAATTGAGGGAGAAAGTGTGAAAAACGGGAGTACCAAAGTACCGTATCATAGAAAGTAAAGGTTGAAGCAAAAATACTCTTCGGTATATCCTGTACATCATGTAAACACACATTCAGAATAGTAAACAGACTAAAATGTCTTCCCAGCCTCCCAGTTACAATGTAGCATACATTTACATACATATATATAGCATATATGACATCATCTTTAGGAAAGGTAGCCCATTACATCCTAATTCTGTGCTTAATTCATTTGCGATTCAGACGATACATTCAGTACATCTCATATTATTTGGAGTTTGCTGGCTGCCATAGACAAGGGCAGATCAAATAATACTGAGCATTGCTTTTCACTCAGATACTGTCACTATATAAGCAACACTCAGTTGTATGAGAACTATCTTTCTTGTTACCAAAACTGAGAATTTTCTGATTTATGTATAGCAAATCGAGCTGAAATTCTGTTCTTTGCAGGACAGTAGTCTTTCCATTTTTTTTAATCAACTGGGTAGAGCAAATAGTTAGCCTCTATTTTAAAAAGCAGATATGAAAATTATCAGTAAGGACACACACAAAAAAATACTACATATATATATATATATATATACACACATATATATATATATATATAACACTCAGTCTCTCTATGTTCTTTTAGAGTTTTGGATAATAACACTTTGAAGAGAAAACAAATTTTCTGAATGTTGTAAGAAGCAACTTACTTGCTCACCTATGACAAAAAAGAAAGTAAAATTAAGAAACTTTGTTGTTTATCAAAGTGGCTTTTAATAGCACTGTGATATACGCAAATCCACTGTAGCAAGATGTTATAGAGTAGTACTAGCATGAATTAGATATTAATGCAAGAAATGAAGCTTAAGATGTTTGTAAGAAAGATCTCAGCGCCTCATACTAAGAATTCCTTCTGGAATTAAACCTTCCTCACATCTGTGCAAATCATGACTGACTATCTTTCTTCAAAGCTTCTAGTCTTTGTAGCAATGCATTTCCAAACACCTCTCGATATGCAGGGCTGAGAGAGTCCAATAAGGAGTAAACAGTTTCATGGTATGGAGTTTGCAATCTGTCATCAGTCTGATCAAAATCATAAGCTACTACCTGCAACAAAGAAATCACTGGTTAAATTTCTATGGTTAGAATCACCCTGCAGTGTGAAACAGGTATCACAACATTTAACTTTGCCAGTGAAGGTGGTACAGTAATTCGAGAACAAACGATACTGGATTTAAATTTCAATCTATGCTTTCTGCTATGGGGTTTAGTGCTAGTACAGTATTCAGACAGTTTTAAATAACTTTTGTCCAAAATTCAGAATATTAGTAAAATCTATCATTATGGCCTTTGAAAAGAAGTCTTACATCTATGTGTTTGCACAAATGGCATACAAATGGTTGAAAAAGGAGTTGTATACATGCTGTATTACTGACTTATCTGGGTACTTGAGAAACTCAAAGACCGGCATGTCTAAAAAAAATTCCTGCTTCAATCTTCATAATTTTCTGTCTCAAATAAACACCTATTTTTTTACCAACCTCCTCTCTTGCTTTGTTGGAAGTAACTAGTTAAATTTCTACTTTCTAGGAGAAAATACGTAGAACATGCTTTCATAAAAGACCAGTATGTATGCTCTTTTGGTGTCACTGTAACATTTTTCTAGGCACCTTATGAACATGAACATTATTCTAAACAAAGCAGCTTAAGAAATTATAAACAAATTAGTTTACCCTGAGTCCTGCTTCAGTGAGCTCCAGGCAGTATCTGTTCCTTTCCCTGGTTTCCACATTGATATATGCCACATCCTCTGCACAGGGAAGGGTTTTTGAGACAAACATGTTGCTGACAGCAAACAGAACATCATTCACAACAGCTTCAGCTTCTAGCCTCATATCTTTCACATCTGTTCCTTCGAAGTCTCTATAATCAGAATCCTCTTCAAAACCCGTATTATTGGGCAACTCCATAGGATTGCAATCAGTCTCCATTCTGCATATGAAAACATCTATTTTAGATTTATAATACCACTATACTCAATACATACTAACACCATAAAACAAATTATATCTTAAACAGGCATATTTAACGTTAAAAAAAAAAAAGCAAAATACGAGACCCAATGACTTCCATAGCTCATGACAGTCCAGATAACTCAAAACCAAGACATTGAGAACAACTGCTTAAGAAGGTTACATTTGCACATATAAACAGAATCAGTATCCCCGAAGTTGCTGCTCCTTATGCAAGTAACTTGCATTCCGTTGTATAAGACTCTGTTATGATTCAGCAGTAATTAATTCTGCACTTTGCTGATCCAGAATGCAGTAGGAAGACAAGTCATGCCTGGAAAAACCCACATCAGTAGCTGTAGAAAATAAAAACCTATTGTTGGTGAATTTAAGAAAGGTTTAGAAACGTCTGTGAACCGAATAGATTATCAGAGACTATAAAGACTATTAACAGCCGATTTCAGTTCACAGTCGCTAAAGAACAATTCTCTAGCTAAGCTTTTATGCACAACTGTCGGTACGTTTCAGAGGCACACACAGCTGGCCTTTGTAAGGAACCGTTACCCAAAAGGGACGGACTCCGCAGGGGTTACGAGAGCGGCTCCCGCGGTCCCCCACCTTACACCCACGGGGAAACGCGCCGGAGGCCGGCGGGGAAGCCCCTGGGACGCCGCCCCGAGCGCTTCGGTAGCCGAGCCCCGCCGCCCGGAGGGAGCTGGGGCTGGCAAGAGCCGATCTGCAACACGCAAGACATTCACTCCCGGCTTAGACCTGCGAGCAAATTCCGAAGAAGCTGCAGGCAACGGAGGACCTGGCTACCGAGCCGCGCAGCTTCCCGTTCGCGGTGAATCCCAACAGCCAGGAACCGCCCCGGCGCCACTGCCCCGAGCAGCGCGGTTAGGAGCGCCGCGCCCCGGGAGCCCACCT